AGCGGAGGGAGAGGGCGGCGGGCAGGCCTCGGGGGGAGCGGGCGCGGGCTGCCGCCTGGGGGAAGAGGACAAGGCCCTTCTCCAGCTGGTTTGGAGGCTGTGCCCTGCGGGTTGTAACAGGGCCGAGGCGGCGGGCACGGCGCGTGAGCGGATGAGCTCTGGGAGGAAAGGTGCTATAACGCCTTTTCTCTGCATATACCTACGTACAGAGCGGTAGGGAGACCTAGAAGGCAAGGATCCTTCCCAAATCAGGGCAGGTGCCTGCCCACGTAGTGGTCCAAGGTTATCCTGCCTCGATTCCTCTTGGCCTGCAAAATGTTGTCGTAAATTAGGGGAGAACATGGGGAGAGTATAGGCCAACTCCTCATCTGCATCAGCCTGAAGAAAGGGACCGGAGCACAGAAGGATCTGCTCCTGCTATGTGGAAGGAGGCATGCGGCCTCCTCCCTGCCTTTCCTGGAGGACTGCCAACCCTTGCACTGCCCCATCTTTAGGGGTATAGCTACATAAGGTAATTTAAGCACCCAAAGCACTATTAGGAAATGGTTTCTTTTCAAATGTAGCCATACTGTACATTGCTTTGGTCTTACAGTCGCCATGTGACTTTTCAGGAACCCTACCCTGGACCTGCATTCTGTGCCAGATGCTTACTGAGTACAGCAATGTATGCAGATAATTGCACGATAAGATATTCATTGGCTTTCTGTAACTTAGGCTTGGAAATGCTCTCTACACCATATCTGCTTTCATTACCTTCATAAGGTAATAATCTTTTTTGACATCAGACGTAGAGTTATTTCATTTTGTTACAAGTTGCTGTGATATGTATGTAAAACAAATCATTGCAACCAGTTTGGGTTGAGTTTCAGAATCCAACGAGTCTCAGCTGCTAACGTTGTGGGTTTGAATGTCAAAAATGTGAAGTTAATTCAGTTGCATTCTGGTACATGTTTCCTACAGGTGTGACCAGTCTCAGGAATTTGATGATAGATCAAATTCGCCACGGGGGAAGAGAGTCCTTTTTCTACTAAAATCACCGTAACTTTCCTGACGCTGTCTTGCTCGGCTTTCATATCATTGCAAGAACGTAGATTTTTGCTAAAACTCCCTCCCTTGTTTTTTGTGGTAGGTAGTTTTCAGTCCTCCATCATCTACTATCTGCCTTTACCTGCCTAATTAACATATGCATCAACTTTCACTGTGACTAGTACTTCTATACTGATATAGTCGGTTTTATTTCTTTTGATACCCTTAATTATTTAACTATGAGCTTTATGTAAGTTTTTGATTGTCCACTGGCTCCAGTTATGTATAAACTTTGCTGAAGTATTATATTCTTCAGTCATGTATCGTCATATCCACAGTATTAGCCATGTACACGGAATGAGCATTTTTCGGGACCGTAATCAAATACATTCAATACTCTCTACCTTTTCAGTAGGTTTGTTATGCCTTCCATCCTAGTCTTTCAAGAGTATTTTTTGACTTCTCAGATACAGCAATTGTTATTATGAATTTAGAATACCATTCTGATTACTGTTAAGTTTTCATTCATTCAGAAAAGTTATTACAAAAAAAAAAAAAGAAGCATATGGTGTGCACCTTCACCTGAAGACTGACAGCTTACTTATATTCTTGGGTTTCAGTTCATTTGTTAAGAAACATAGGACGTGCTAAGTGAGTTTTGACCTCATATTCTAATCTATGCCCTTCCTGACTTTTGAGAGAAGATAGTGAGCAGCTGTGCCTCACATGCCAAAAATAGCTAATACATGATTCAGGAAGGAATTCCTCCTCCTCCTTTCTTCAGACTTGCTGCAATGAATCTGATCATGATGATGTCCGCTTACATCAGTACTAGCTCCCATCACTCAGAGATAAACTTGTTAAAAAGGAACAGCTGTACTGGTTCAGACAAAGGGCCCATCTAGCACTCTCTTGCCTCTAGCAGTGATCCCATGCAGTTGCCTAGAGAGAAGTAGGAACAAAGCAAGCGTATACATACAATACTTCCCTTTTATACCCCCCCAGCCTCTGACCGATGTCAAATCAGGGGATTTCCTGAGCTCAGTTTAGTTTGTCTGATCAGCAACTTGCAATGAATCTCACCCTTTCCCAAATGCTTGTCCCTTTCAACCCACTTCAACTTTTGGCAAACACAGCATCCTTTGGTGAGGAGTTCCCCAGGTCTACACCGACTGCATGAGGAACCAGCTCCTTTTGTTTGTTTTGAGCCTGACTTAGTTTTCTCTGTTAGCTGCCAGGTTTTTATGCTGAAAGAAATGGGGATCGTTACCCATCCTTCCAAGCCTCTTGTGATTTTTGTATCTGTTATCACATGATCATGTGATCCCACTTCCAAACTGCACGATGCTAACCTACTCAGATATGCCTTTTACAGAACGCGCTCAATACTGTTGTTCATCTCTGTTGCTCGTCTCCAAACCTTTTCTGTTTTGACTTTTTGGGGATGAGAGTGCAGGTCACCCCAAGCAAGGGTGCAGATTAGCCATGGATTTTTACAGAGGCACCATCTTCATGTTTCCTGTTGTATTCTCTGTTCCTTTTTCAGTACTCCTTAACATTTGATTTTTTTTTTTCTGACTGCTGCCATGCACTTAGCTGATATTTTCATGGAATTGATTCTAGTTTCATTCTTGGTGATGGTGGTCATCTCAGAGCTCTTCACCTTATTGAGAAGCTAGGACTGTACTTCCTAGTATGTACCAGTTCAGTTTTTACACAGCGAATTTCATCTGTCGTTTGATTGTCCACTCATTCAGCCTCATAAGTTCCTTCTGCAATTCTTTGCAGTCAGCCCTTGTTCTTACTACCTTAAATAAGTATCATCAGCAAACTTTCGCTTCACTGCTCACCACCATTCCCGTGTTGTTTTTATATGTTGAACAACAGAGGCTCTGGGGAAGCCAGTCAGACCAAAGCTACCAAAAGGTAACATCAGACTTATCAAACTGAAGCTAATATTCCATAAGCTAACATTCAGAAGTAACATGGAATGATCTGTACTTGGAAAGAACCCCTGTTAATGCGAAGAAAGTTCTTTGCAGCTGCAAAGAACAGCTGTGAATCTGTCCAGTTAAATCTCTGAAGGTTAAAGGTTACCCTAGACTTCACCACTTCTGCTTCAAGTGACTTTACCTTGCGTTGCATGTACTAATATCAATGTGTTTAATTAAACCAGAAAGTACTAAAGGACTTTAAGCATACCTAGAGAAAAAGTACAGGAAACAGATAGACTTCTGAAGCAAATGCTAGTAGGTGAAAGTAGTCTTCTGGTTTTTAATACTGTGTTTGACCTGAGCCCTCCACAGAAAGTCTGATACAGGTGACTGTGTGTGGTGTCTTGAGCTTACAAAGGCATCTACCCGCCAACATTTAGCCCTTCTGCACTTCTAGAAGGTAGTCAGGTTTTTAAAGTGGGATGGGAGGGGCACAGGAACTTAAGCCAAAGAGCATACCCAGCAGCGGATGCTGAATGGTTATCTTCTATCCTACATTAGACAGGAGGGAGCTGGA